AATCGACGATGATAATCTTGAAGAGAGTTATGAGAATGTCCTAGTTCAACCCGTAATTTTAAAATCACCCACATCGTATCTCGATTTTTTTTATAAAATAAATCACTTATTTGTTTGTTCACAAAAGCCCCTATCTCAAATTGTTTTTCGGCTTTCAGGCTCTGAAGAAGGCGAAGAGGCCGAAACGTAAGCTGTATAAATTTGTGAATCTCGGAAAGGCTCAAAACATCTCAAGTGACAAGCCCCTATCAGATATGATAGATTGATATTATAAAGTTGCTCGAAATTGATTGTTTATAATCTGTCTCCAACGCCCTAAAAACCGCTTTGTGATTTTCTTTCAGATTTTATGGGGCCAATTCCCAGCCTGATGGTGGTCCCATATGATTTTGTAGCCATGTTTTCAGCATGAGCTTTCCGAAAAAAATTGTTTCAAAGCGAAACGAGACTACTACGAGGGTTGAGCATGGAGAAATGTCATACAGGCTCCCCATCTGCCAAATAATGGATGACGATTGTAATGGTAAAGTGCTGGTATGACATCCAACTTGGGTCTAAGCTAAACCTGTGTATGGCGTAACCTCTGCATATACATTTCCTCGAAATATTTCGATTCCATGGGATTGCCTTAGTTCATACTGCCTTTTGGTCTTTCGAAAGCGCTCCCCGGTTTGGTTCCATTTCAAACCTTGGTAGCGAGCCTTGGTATCGAAACCTATCAAAAGCAACCAATAAGTGACCGGTCTTTGGGTAACAAAAACAACTTTTGAATCATCTGAACCAGAGGTTCATTATGGCGTCAAGGACGTGCCCTTACCTATCAGATTTATAGTGCAACCTGCCATTTGGGTTGTTCCAGTAGGCAATTTCGAAGTATGAGTTTCAAAGAGGGAGTCACTTCCTTATTTTTATAAAATTTTGAAAAAAAATAATTCAAAAGTTCGAAACATCCTTATTCACGGTGTCATCAAGACAACTTTCCTTTCCTTTTATGGCCATTACATCGAATTTCAGCTGTAGAATTTACTTTTGTGCCATGCTCAGTCGTACTATTCAAAAAGCTTACTTCTCTTTTTTTTTATTTACTAATTTTAACCTCTGTCTTCCCTATCAGCGATATCATCGCTTAGTTTATTTCTCTTTTTTTGTTTTTTTTTCATGGCCTTTCGGTTCAATGTGAGTGACTTGCTGAGTAACAGCTGCTTTTGTTTGCCTTTCATTAAATTGCATCTCGAAATTGGTTCCTATTACGTTGTGTACGGATGAAGTTCTCATGTTTACCTTTCAATTTCGAAGTAATATTCCGCCTCGATCAGATAGGCCTGTCTCTTGGCTCGAAATTCCAGAGTCTCTTTGTAGACCCACTTTTGAATTTTATTTCTTTAGGCCGTTAAGCTGATGCTATTCATGCAGAGTTTTGTGAAAGTTCATTTTTCTTTGCTTCAACTATGACTAGCGCTGCTAAAGTAAGTTACCAAAAACTCATACAGCTGTTCGATGGTCAAAAACCTTTGGAGTCTTCTGATGTTGATCAATCCCCTTTGTGAGATCCACCCCATGCCCCCTCCCCCTCCCCCCTTCCTCACTGAACTTCAAGTTAGGATCGTGATAGCGCTTTGTCGGTTGCTTATACAGTGACTTGCCTCAGGTTGATACCATTCATCTAATCCCGGAGAGGTGGAAGGTCTAGTTAGCTTGGCGAGTATAGTGACGGAATTCGATCCAAGTACCATGCAAGCATGGTAGTGCGCCCCTTGCCACTGTACCTTCGTTGGACCTCGTAGTTTTTTCTCAAAATTTGGAAAGATTTTTTATTCAATTTATGGGCCAATATTCTGAAAAAAAGCCCGTTTCGAGGGTTGTAAAAATACGCACAAATTCCGTAACACTCCAGTCAGGTTGGATTGTTCCGCCATTGAGGCACGAACGAGGCGGGTTGCAGTTGGCTGGTTGGCTTCGTTTCGTTAGTTGATTAGGTTCCGGGATGCGCCACGCATTCTAATCGCCCTTCAGAATTGGAGTTGGAACGGTAATGACCAACCCAAACAATCATTCGTGGAAGTCAATCAACATCGGAGTAGCCGATGTCGATGCTTTATCATCCTATATTATTGTATGACTCTTTAACGTTGGTGTATTTTGTTTATATGATCATGCATTTAATAATTTGACATTGGCTTATCTTTCTTCCTTTGAAGAAAAATTTTGAGAGGTCATATTTACTAAAATAATTGTGTATATATGTCAAAGTAGTGCACAGAAAGTTCGCACATTTACTACGAGCACAGTCTAAGGGTTGGCCAAGGTATGGTTGTAGGGGCTCAAGAACACGATCTCTCAAACCGATAAAAGTGAGCTTCATGAGATAACTATTCCAATGTTTAGTTTTTATTTCAAATTCATATGATTCTCCATTAATTATTATCAAATTCTTTTGCTTCTTTCAACTTAGGTCCATCTCACCGATCGACAACATCTCTTTTCTATCTTTACTTCTGATGAAGTAGCTGTTTGTTTTATTTACCCTTACTCTAACATTTTTTCAGAGCAAAAAAAAAAATTTTTTTTCAAAATTTTCACGGAATTTTTTTTTCATGCTCGAATTTGTAGGAAGTATAAACAATAGCTAGGATATACAACTGATGGCAGATGAGCCGTGCACTTCACATTCATTCAGAATTAAGATCTCAGGCATGCGAGCAAATGCTATGCATGTAGTTCAGTTGATGATCCGCTGAACCAAAATATTGCCAAAATATTGTTTTAGAAAAAAGATTGGATAAAAATGATCAGTAGGGATGAGACTTGCACACCTTGTGGGTGAAAGCTGTAGATGTACAGCGCCTAATCCTCAAAGAATCTTCCTATGTTGTAAAAAGGACGTGGTAGGAAGAGAGGAGCGGGGGAGGGAGTGTTTTAGGAAAAAGTGTTCTAGAAGAAAGATCGGATAAAATGGATGAGAAGGGATGAGACTTGGACACATTGTGGGTGGGAGCTTTGGAAGTTCATGCGCCGAGTCTTCAATGAATCTCCATATAGTATGTAAAAAGGATAGAGTAGAGAGAAGGCGCGGGGGAGGGAGTGTTTTGGGAAAAGCGTCAGAAAGTCGAGTGTTCTACAAGCTATTCGTCAGGAAACGAGGCTAGATTGAGGTCATTCAAATGCGCTCTACGCAGCATCTTGCTGAAAGTGACTTAGGTGAGCTTCAGCTATGCTGAAGCCGATGTTTTGAACCCGCTGTCCCTTTATAGTCCAAGAAATCCTATTTTTGCCTACCCTTTCAAATTGCTGTTCATACCTGATCTTCAGTTTAAGCTTCTTTTTAAATGTGCACTGGGGTAAAGTATTTAGGTGTTTTCGAGTGATTCCTTGATTTCGATAAATGTTGGGGCACTGAAGTTGATCAGAGTAACAGACGAGTTTCTTTGGGTGGTCCTTTGGTCTTCTTCAATCGTACAACACCCGAGAACGGTGAAATCGATCAGTGTAACAGAAGAGTTTTCTTCGGGTGTCATCATCCATAACTTGTCGCCGACAAGACATGAATGACATTTCACCAACCACTGTCGGCTTGTCAAAACATTTTCCCCCACTGTCTCGGGTATTCCCTTTCCGTACGATAGTTCAACTCACCTATGTTTTTCTCAAAATAATATCATACTCCCTATAAACAGCATAACTATAGTAGCTGACATTTCCCTCGTCAATCCACCAAGGCTTACTGCTATTGTACTCCGGAATCGCTTTAAAGGTTTCTGGATCGTTGTTGGTCTCGATCGTGCTTCTCTTACTCGCTTGGCTCTGACTCCATGAGCTTTTGTCTACTAACACAAATAAATAAACATGTAAATAAACAACTACTGATGCAAGGTCGTGTATTTCCTCTAACCCCATGTATCCTTGTGTGCGCATACAAGTAAATAAATACGTAAACAAGCCACTATTGGTGTAAGTGATAAGAAGTTCGGTGCCGGGAAAGCGCAAGTACGTGTTCTGGTCCCGTCTGAGGCTGAGCATTCGTCTATAACTCGCTATCCTTGGAGGCTTTTGCATCTCTCACTGCTAATAAATAGCAACAGCTAGTAAAAAACATTATGTCCAAATAAACAAATAAATGAACAGGAGAAAAGTTTATGAACTACAGTAGGTACTTAGAACCAGCAGATTCTTTTTCTCGGCGGCGAGAGTACGAGCTTATTTCTCGAACTTCCTATGGTGGCAAGGAAATGATTCAAATCTATTGATTATTGTTTTCCTTTTACGGCAGCCACGATTCACTTATTTTATTCATGAATGGAATGACCATCTTCAATCAGGTTCGATTTTTCTGTCCTACTGGAGCATCCTACTGGAACCTACTCTTTCGCTATGGTCATTTAAATTTCTGATTTCTGCCCTTACTAATCATCTCCACCTCGCTATTTGGTTTTTTTTTTATTTCCTGGGAAGAGGTTTCTGGATATGATGCTAACGTCCGTTATAACCGAAGATAGAATATCTTTTTTGAGTAGATGCCCCCAGACCATCCACATTGTGTTGTCACTATGTGGGCTATGAGAAGGAAAAGTCGAGACGGAGTAATGTCAAACAGTGCCATTATCACGCGCAGGGTTAGGGGATCGAATCTCGCGTTCTCTNCAGTCAAACCTTCCATCCCTCCGTAGTCGTTTGGCTTGCACTATCTGGTCTGGGAGGATAAAAGCACTGATGCAATATCATCTGTCCCCTGCTAGTCATAGTACATAGGCGAATTAGATGCCGCTACTTTCTGAATAAAGTCGAATGACCGGCGCATCCCAGACCACGGTTGGTCGAAGCCAGAAACATTTCCTTTTTTCATATCATTATGAATTGGCAGAACTTTAGGAACAACTCTCAGTTTTTCAACTCGTCCAATTTGATTGTACTGTTTCTTCGTGTCGAGACCTCCATTCGTCGTATTTGTCAAAACATTTCTATTTATTGAAATGTCTAGTAGAAGGTGGTCTCGTTACAGTGAAATGCCACGCCATGGAGGGAGTGGCGTCGTAAAAGAAAAGGATAAAGACAAAGATGGTACAAAAGAGAAAGTACAAAGCAAAGAGAAATACAAAGAAAAATCTGATCGCAAAGCACATGCGGATAGTGAACGGTCCGGTCCAAGTACGGCAAGGCGTATGTCAGATACGGAAAGGTGAGACCTTCTCTGTACATTACGCTTCTTTGTTTTTTACTTCTTTGCTTGCTTGCACCTTTCTTTCTTGATGTCAAGGTTCATGACAATATTTGCAAGATTTTTTCGCACAAAATATAGTAGCCAGTAGAAGTAGAGGTCCGTCATCAATAGGTTGCAATCGAGTGCGCGGTCGCGAGGCGTTAAACTAAGGTCATTAGAAGTATGTATGCCTGCTGGGTATTGTTTAGGTGTTGTCGAAAAAATGGAATTAGTGTAAACAAGCAAAGGAAATTGTAGAAAGCACTACCAAATAGCATCAGATACTTTCAACCCATATTCATATTTTTTTATCCCACCACCAAATTTACAGTAATCTGAAACCTACGGTGATTTTACTGTGACATACAGTAGTATCTTATTGCTAATTGGAGGATTTCATCTTCCAATCAGGAACAAGATCCTGTTGTATATCACGGTAGATCGATCGAATGGCGCGCGTTTGACAAAGCGTCAACGATTTCTGCCCCGGGACAACTCGTCCGCACCCCTCATTCCTACAAGTGTAGTCGCTGGCTAAAGTTTCTGATCCGATCAGAAGATATAATTCTGTGGTCAACTAATTTGAAGCTCATTCCTCCCTCTCATTCCTTGAGTTTTTTGGGCAAGTTTTGATCTCTGGTACCATACGAGGAGCAGTTGTCCTTCCTCATTGCCTCAACGCGCTATTCACTAGGCTCACTATGTTCAGAGATTTCCTGGTACTTCTGATCCATACTCATTTGATCCGTTTTTACTTTTTTATTGATTGTATCTAATAACAATCCCTACTAACCAGATCTGCCGCTTCGCAACCGCGCGCGTAATGGCATGGTAGTAGCTGTAGTGACAGTCGACCCTTTCTCATTTTGAGGCTTTATTTGAGTGTTTCTTCTTAGCATTCTGTTATAATTAAGTAGATTTATTGAATTTAACCAAGTATGGGACCGTATAGTTGGTCAAACTGTCAGTATTTTAAAAGGCCATGGGACTCGTTTTTAGATGGTAATCCAGACCTTTCATTTGTCTTCCCTAATTTGAGCCCAGTACCAATTGGTAGCAACCTTTTGTTCAGTTATCCTTTAGGATCTTTTGGTGCAATTGCAATGCATACATATTGCATATTTTTTCCCTTACTGCCTATACTTATTGTTAGTCGAGAACTGACTGACGAAATCTTATCAATCCAGATGTACTGCCTTCTGAAACATCGTCTCATTTCATTCAAAAACAAAATTAGCTTTTTTTAAAGATGTTTATAACGTTTCTCATTCGTTCTTTTTCAGAAAACATTCTGTGCGTCCTACAGATGAGCTGAAATTGTTACAGGTCAGTGCTACCTTCGATTTCATTCTTTTTATGTCCTTTGCTTTTGTCATTTCAAATTATGTACGCATGTATTGTTGCTGATAAGTGCATTCTGTTCTGCAGAGTGGTGCATTTTTTGCCTTCTTTCATCGTTATTCACAATTTTAATTCTCAATTCAACTACCATTCAATCTGTTCCCACTTTCCTTCTGCCATAGATGCCTTCATACATATCTTCTGCCAGTATTGATTATGTGACATTTGACGGGAGTTCTGCTGATATACTTAAACTAGTGTATCTACCCTCATAATGAACTGGAAAGTCATGAGTAGTGAGACTTCGGTACTGTTTCAATTTGAAAATAAAACTGTTGAAGTGTGAATCAGTTGAAAAGGAAATATAGCAACTCTGCGGGACTCTGCTGTCTTGTTCATTCATAGTACCTGCGTCCTGACGCACATGTACCACTGTCAATCCAGTCGGGACCACCACATCAGTTATATGAATGCGCCTGCACTCCCATTTACTAACTCATGGTCCCGACTGGACTGAATTATATTATCTGCGTCAGGACACGAGCTCAATGAATGCGCTTCATGAGGTAGACATTCAAAAATCATCCGTACAAAATGGGGTGAATTATTTGTTAGGATTGGTTTGGTTTGCTTTTGAATGTACTCCTAGCTTATTGGCTTTTTTATTCAATTTTTATTCCATCTGCTATTATTATGGCAATTTATGCCGTTTTACAATCCATTGTGATTTAGGACAGTCTTTCACAATTTTTCACACCATCTGCTGGAAGAAGGTGTCGCCAGCCGCCACGAAAGTTCGACGAATCTGGAGTGAATAGCGATGACAGTGTTCATCATCATAGTAAGTGACATGTCATTTTTGTTTTTATGGTTCTGCTGAATCCCTCTTCATTTTTTACCTTCTTTTTCGACTTTTTTTTGAATGTATCAATGTTTACCAGAATGTATCGTAGATATCAGAAGGGAGAGGTTGTAACAATGTTCATTGGTGTCGGAACTTGTTTTCCAGTTTTCCGCTAAGATTTTGTGCAACTCTCGCACTTTCTTTTTTCTCTGAGTGTTGATGTTTGGAGCACGAGGTACATGCAAAAATGTGTTTACTCATAAGACTACCTCTATGAACCACGGGTGGCAAAACTGTGAAAAGCTCCAATCATTGGCGGAGCCACTGGAATTGGGGTCTACATTCGCACCATCGCCCCTTCCTTTCCCTCCTTTGTTCTGACACCAACCCTTCTAGAGTTGTCGATTTCTGATCTCGAGTAATAAACACGTGGGTTCTTTCGTTTAGTTGTACTGGTTGCTATTACCATGGGTTTTAACTTCGAACCTTGTAAGAAATTCAACAAAGAAAGAGTCGACGCTAAATAACGCAAATTAGCTCAATTACTGTGTAATTAATTGCGATATTTCGAACTTTCGCTGTTCAATCTTGCATTTCGTGCTTCTGTTGAAGGCTTTTTGCTACATCCCCTCCTATCCATTTTCTCCTATCCGTTAATGGGAAATGTGTGTTCTGAATTGACGAAGAGGTAGTACTTGCTGCTTGACTGCCTCAAAAACCCATAGAAATGTTCTTAAATTATAACCCCTTTGTTTCCTTGTACATATATGACCCACGAGCTACTTTTGATTGATAGAGATACCAGTATCACTCTTTTCTTTCGGTCAATGCTTTTAAATCATATTTATGAAAACTTTTTTTTCTAGATGACAGTGGTTGCGAAAAGACAGAGCCGCCTACTGGAAAAATACCTCGACGAAAGAAGTCGTCTACTGAGTGCTCAATGATGGTTAGTACTCTGTTCAACTTCCTGACTTGTTCAGTCTGTTTTTACTTCTTTTTTCTGATTTCTTTTGCTTTTGTTAAGAATCTAATACACGCTTGCACTTCTCAACGTTGCTTTTTCAATTTGTCTCGATCTTTAACTAAATTGAACAACATGCGATTTACAATTGGTCCGTTCAGCCGTGAGGAGGGGCTGGTATGTTAAGACAGGCTGACAAAACTTACGAATCTTGGAAAGCTTAAGCATTTGCTGGTCTTTCTTCAAACCCTTCATTCGTCTACCTTGAGGAAATTTTTTTCGAGATTGACTCGTTTTAAATACTTGAGGTTTTGGCCATTTTGTGTTCCGGGTCCAAAGATCATTGAAAAGAAATGGGACATAACTCTTGACTATTCATTGAACATGGTGGCAGAAACAGTCATGAAAAACGTTTTTCGTGATTCTGGTGTTCTGATTTCTAAGGCATCTTCTAACGCTCTATAGCGACCTCCAAGTATCAGTATCTAGCCAAACACATTTCTTCGCCAAACTCTTGCGCTGTGAACTAGAAATATACACTTTTTATTCTGCTGATCACGTTATCAAGATTCTATTATGAACAGGGCAACCTTCATATCTGACTTGTAGATCATCGCATACATTTAGAAACCTCTTACTGTCGACGTCGAAAGTAAAACGGAATGTCCTGGCTCTTCTTCCTCGACTAGATGTAAGTATGCTCTATGATTCCATCAGTTTTTTGTTCATTTTGATTGTGTTCTTCGTTTACCTTCACAAGTTGAAGGCCTTTCTACTTGGGGCTCTATGCGTTTTTCCTAAATTGATGTACTTACGATTTGCATCATACCTGGTTACTTGATTTTATTTGTTTCACATGAGGTGTTTGTTTTTTCTCATATTTATTGCTGTTGTTATTCAGCGGTTACCTCTGATCCATCGCCTTCTCGAAGGATGTGCGAGAAATTGGTGGATTCGCTGTCACCGTACTTCAGTACATCATCAGAAAAAAGGCGCACTACACAAAAGGGTGAATTCGCTCAACTCCATAGCGGCCGAACTAGGAATGGTACGTTTTTTGAAGGGTAATTATGTTGAATTTGTGTGACTAACTGAGATTCATGGATTGAATAGATGTATTGGAGCATACTCATGAAAATAACCGAAGTCGAAGTGTTTGTTTATTCCCGTTGCGTTGAAATTAATTTTACCGAAAATTCGGTTTTCGCGAACAATTGCACAATGTTACTGCTTAGTTCACTACTTCGGCCCTGTAGCCTTGCTGGGAGTGTTTCGTTCCTGCTAGCGGTCTCGCTGAACTGAAGCATATTTTCTGAAGTGTATCTGGTGCACGTGACTCGATCATGAAAAATTTCAGAGATGTTCAGAAGGAATTCAACCATGAGCTAACGATAGCCCCAGATTTTTTACAAGTTTTTTTTGGGGATTTCTTTTTTATGAATGTGTTTCGCCCAAGTAAATGTACCTTTGCTTATTTCCTTTTGAGAAGAATCTAAATATGCCGAGTAAGATGGTTGGAATCTGCAAGCGTTTGTTTCAGTTATCCTTTTCATTCTTCAGAACCCTGAAAAGTACGTCTATTTAGTGATTATCAGGTTTTTTTCAAAAAATAGAGGCAATCTTTCTATTCTTCAATCTAAAACCACCGTTTAGCGTTCTTTGTGGTTTTCTTTCACTGTGAACTCTACAAACGGCTCCGGAACAATGAGTAATTTTATGTTCCATAACTTACTAATTTTTTATGCCGCATGGGTAGGAAATTTTGTTGGAAGTAACTTCTTTCTTGATGGAACATCCAGTTCTTATCAGTAGATTAAATATAGTGTTGTCATTGGAAGACATTAGAGCAACTCTGAATAGATGTCATGTTCCTTGATCGCTCGTTATTCCATTGATTTTCCATTTCCCAGTGGTGAACAGCAGTAGAAAAAGGTTTGCGGAGAGTGCATAAGTCAGTCAAACAATCTCTGTGATTTCACTCCTGTCGTGTGGTTATGCTGTGCCTCATTTGATCGATTACTCCCTACTGATTTATTTCTTTTAGGTGTGAGGTTTGGGTGAGAAATTTCGGAGTTTGGGAGATTAAAGGATTGAGGTCAATTGGTGCTATTGGAATGTAGTGGGGAATGTCTTCTTGGTTCTTTGACTCATCGGAAATCTTGCCTGTCTTTGAGTGACTTTGTTCCATACTTATTCATCCATTTTGGGAGCTAGGTTTTACTGGAGATTTTCTCCTGTATTTGAATGCGTAAGTCTTCCGTCATAAGAGCTACCAGAATTGGGATAGGTACCAAAGTATTGTTATTAATTCAATTGTGTCAGTGAAACTCGTCCTATAGTGTCATTTCTTCGGAACCTCATTTGAAATGATCGTCTTCTTTATCGTTATTTGAACCATACAGTCAAAAAAGACAAGACAGTCAATGCAGAGCAGTACAGTTATGAGAGGAAAACCTTTGTAGATGTAGTGGCTCACTCGAGAGATCAGTGTCGAGGTCTATCAGTCATATGCGATGTTGAAGTTGCTTACAGCGATGATCCAGAAGTGCTCCGGATTTGAATAAAACCCTGGCACTGAGTGGAACTGTGTATAGCCCCTTCATAAATGCTGTTCAGCTTTGAAATTTGGAGGTGTTTAGTTTTTGATGGTAATAACGTACCATCACAAACTGATCCTGATCCTTATATCGATTCCTTGATCGAGTATCATTTTGGCCAGCTGAACTAGTCTTCTAACGCTGGCATCTTGGGACGGTGAAGGAGCTGATTTGTCCATCTGCTGGTCCTCGTAGGTACTTGAATGGCTTGAATTGGGCAAATACATAAGCATTTGATCTCATTCATATTCCGTGCCCGTGGGATGTTTCTAGGAAAGACTTCAACAAGATTGAGAGTTGTCATGGCGATTTTCCCGTATATTGGGATTTCCGTTGGACGGATGGAAGGTGAGCTTCAATAAACTGCTTGAATATATGAAAATACATGAATATAGTCATCTAATTGACGGCGGCTTTATAGACATAGGCTTTCGAAATTTTCTTCTTTTTATGACGTATAAATAATTCATGAGCCACAAATCTGTCAAGGAAGTGTTGCATTAGCAGCTAATGCGATCACGAACCAGCCACCATTGTGAGCGTTAACGAATTTGGCTGAAAGCGTCAATAATGTTTAATTCTGTCCCTCATTAAAGCGCTACGGTATAACGACGATCTGTCATAACATAGCAACTATTGAACGAGTTCGAGGGATAAAGAAACATTTACCGTGCTGCACAGATTTCGCTCGTGATGGGATAGCAGGATTAGCTGATTGGCTCGCTTTTTCTCGCTTATCTCCTCAGACGAGCTTGCAGGATGTTGTATTCAAAGATTGAAGATGAACACTTACTCTGGAGAGAGGATTAGCCGTCTCCGAGTCAGAAGGGATGCACTGTCTGACGTTCGCGTTAGGGATCCTTCTTGAGAAAGTGCCGCTCCCCTTACTGCCATTGTTAGCTGAAATGGCTTCAAACTACGGTTGGGTTTTTTTTCTGTGTCTTAAGCTAGAAACTGTGAGCACCCAGTTGCTGTTATTCCTTTCTAAAAAAATTCCTTTCTCTTAAAACTATCGAGAGTTTCCACCCTGGCTAACTTTTCCTAGGTATTTAAAGAAAGACGACATTCTGAAATAAATTTTACCAATGCAACAGCATTAGTGACAGGTACCATCTGAAGCAGTGGGACTGAAATTTGATGTTTTCATCGGATAGGATTCATTGGTTTTGTTTCTTGTTTGCTCGAATAGCTTTAAATACGTGGTCTACAGGTAGCTGATCACATCGGGAACTTATTCTTTATGGCTATAAAAATTACACTCATCGGAGTTTCTATCCATGTTGCTGAATTAGCCACTATTCGAGTAGGAGATCGTTCATGGAATGGCAAAGCATTTTTCCGAACACATGAACACCTCACGTTGTTTACCAAACCCTGCTTTCTCTTCTGACCTTCAGTTTTAGCGGATTTAACAGCTTGCGAAGTATTTGCTTTCTACGAGCTTTTCTGAAAGTCCTTTGAGGTTGTTGAATCGCACCTGCTGGGGAAGTACCAGCACCTTAAGAAACTAAAAAGACATCAGTAAACGTGGTGTTTTGGTCTACATATGTCTCTTTGATAAAGTGGGTTACTGACGTCAAGAAGCTGGCCCGTTCTATTCGTTCTACTCGTTCTGAGGATCCCTTGGGAAGANAACATCATCGTTTTTGTCAGACGAGCATTCGTAGCGCATGCAGTCGAAATCTGGGCACACACATGCGGGAACTGAAGAAAATGACAAAGAGATGGGAGATAGCCTTAGTGAAATGCTTGATTGTCAGTCATCATGACATGATGGCATAGAGCAAGGCAGTGTAAACACGTTTACAACTAGTTACTAATGTGCTGATGTAAATAAGTACAGAATTGAGCAAAAAAACAAGTAAACAACACCGTTTACTAACAGAAGCACAAAAAAATCTTAGTTTCATGGAAAGATGAAGGTTTTGTGGTGCCGTTTCTGATGTTCTTCAAAAAATACTTCTTATTCGTTAACTCGCATCTGATCTATTTATCTATTGCATGCTTCCTGCGATGAATTTGTGGTTCCAAATATACCATATGTGGCGTAGCAATTTCGAAAAATGGCATACACCGGACGATGTAGGAGCTCAAAGATTGTACGCACTGTTTGCCGCACCCAAAAAAGGCCACGTTATGACGGCCTTGTTATGGCTGCACCATTTGTAATGGAGTACACATGTTGAAAATTCAAACAATTAGTCGCGACCCATGGCGACGGTGGAATGCAAACTGGCACCTCCAAATACACCTTCCATGCCACTTCTCTCGTCATAATTTCGTATAACTCCTTTCTTCACAATCTTTTGAACCCTGAACTTCTCAAGGTCCTCCAGTCTCCGCGCTTTCTTCGCCACCTTTGCGCTGTTCTTCGTCAGAAACTCCATTATTTTACCTGAAGAATCTCAAACTTATGGTGATCTGTGCCGCTGACTTGAAGGAAGGGGTCTCCATCTAACAATCGAAATGAAAAAAAAAACAATCCATGCCCTTCAAATGTTGGGATTAATAATAATTGGCTATGGATGTGCAACGACGCTTTGGAAGTCATCAGGGATTTCGGGATTTCAAAAGGAAGATTCAGTTCTATCATTTATTTGCAGCGAATGTGCCTTCAGAATCACTGCTGTGCCTAATTAGAAAGGGAACGAGGCACAAATCCCAATTTTGGTTTCGTCGATGACTTTGGAATATTCTTTTCCATTCGAGTCATTGGAAGGGTCGAGAGGTTAAGATCGTGACAGGGCCTTCATAGATTCCAATCCAGCTGTCAACTTTTTCGGAGCTTTCGTCAGCAATACGTGATTGAATTGCTAATCTAATGCCTTTACATCTTGACGCAATACATACTTTTTGCTTATGAATGCTGAATTTTTGTATGCATTCATATTTCAGATTTATAATTTCTCCATTTCAATACTTCATAGTGTGGACCTCTTTGAACTTAATTGATCCCTTCGTTCTGAACCTGAGTCATTCCCCAATACATACAGGGCCGATTTCACGTAAAATAGCTTCCTCCAAGGCACGGACGATAAAAAGGGTTACTGAGTTCATCCTTTAGGAATACTCAGCGCCCCCATGGGTGGTAGAAGGGACCCTCTCGCTCCCACAATCTCAGCGCCTAGGGCATAGTGGAA